CTTGTTTGCCCTTTTTAGTCTCAATTAAGAAACTTCCAGGTTGATTGTTTATTTAATTCGACAACCTCTTGATTTCACCAGCTTCACCTGTGCGTGTTCACGGAAATTGTCTTTTGTTGCTGTGATGTTTTTCCCCAGTACGATGGAGTTGTCGATCTTTTTGTTTCCTGCTCTGGTGAACCTTTTTTTTTTAATTAAACTTTTTATTTATTTACATTTAAATTTAAGTATGTACAAAGTTTCTATGCATTTTATCGCTTTTTGTTTTTTAAGGTTTCAGGCATTCAATTTGCTTTTTGTCTCTTAATTTTTGATTTCATTTACGGATTTTACTTTCTTTTGTATTTCATTTGATTTAATCGGTGTTTTCAGATGCAAGACGACTGTTGAAGTTCGCTTGCAAATTTTCGACGTAGTCTTCGATGGACAGTATTTTCGCTTCTGAATGAAGATCGGTGATCCTTTCATATCTTGTTTTATTGATAACAATTCTCAAGAATTTGTTTTGCAGTACTTGAAGTTTTTCAAGGTGGGTTTTTGCCATGCTTCCAAATGCTGGACAACCATATGTGAATATTGTTCTGATAGCTTGTAGATGAGAAGTTTGTTTCGTACGTCGAGTTGTGAGTTCCTGCTGATGAGCGGATAAAGCTGTCTTAATGCGGTGTTAAAAAATTGAATATTTAAATATTTTAAAATTTTAAAAGAAACCAAATTTTATCTAGAAAATTATTTCATAAAGGTTATGCATGACTATGAATAATCCTTTTAAGACGCATTTATCCAACTTTTATCTTAATTTAGACATGAAACAATAAAGATACACTTACTGACTTTTTCGATATTGAACCTGTGAAGAAACCAAGCTAGATCCAGTGGAAACACGATGAATTATTTCCTTATACTTTATTTAATAAAATAAGCTGCTCTGGATGTGTCTGAAGTTTTCTTTTTATCTCAAAGTTCGTTCCCAATTTCGCCAACTTTATATTTAAATACTTTACAGCTTCAGAAATCACTTTGAATCGATTATTATATGGTTAAATTTCTGCACGTGATGGACGGTTCAATAAACCTAAAAAGTTTATATATTAATTTTACCTCAAACATTTGATTTCCTTAATTTTTTCATTCTAAACTTACTTTCTTATTTTTCAGTAAGTGCTTTTTAGCATAATTCCTTTTTTTAATTAATTCAAAACACGATTTAATAAAATTTTAATTGTGTGGACTTTCACAAAATTTTCTCATCTGATCCATTATCACTCAGGATCCAATAATTTGCTCATTGAGCTTTCAAATTTTAATAAAATGATATTAATAACATTAAATATGAGAAATATATTATTTTCTCAATAAATATTACATGCCATAAAATAATTAAAATTAAATCGAAATTTTTTAACCACTTTTTCAGAATTCAAATTCTACAATGACAGTTGGTTTGGATTTCATTTTCAACGAACTTATTTGATTCAAATTTAACCGCTTTAAAGTGTATTTTAATATGTAAATTTAATTCAAATTTTTATAACGAAAAATTTTTCGACATGCGGTGTGAGCCCTATTTTTTACATACTCCACATACGGCTTTAATGTCACTCTCTTGTCGATCACCATTCCCAGATATTTAGCTTCTGTTTCCCATTTGATGTTTTCGTTGAGAAATTTGATGTTATTTCCTGGTAGTTGCCTGGAGTACCTGTTTGTGATGAATAAGGCTTGAGTCTTCTGTTTGTTGAGGTTGATCTAGCATTTGTTTATGTATTGTTGAACTTTTCTTCCTGTGTGCTGTAGATGTGTCACAATTTCGGCCGAGTTCTCTTGTTGATGAAGATGTTGTAGAGAGTTGGTGAAAGCACTGCTCCTTGTGGTACTTACCTTGATTTCTGAGAACTGACCTTTAATAAAAACTGCGATCTTACTTAAGCAGCTTGTCAGTGATATTGGTCTATAATTCGTCGAATGTCGTGGGTCTTTTCCAGGCTTTCTAATGGTGATTACCATTGAATGTTTCCAAGTCGTTGGTACTAGTCCTATGTCAAAAATTTCATCGTAAAGTTCAAGTATTATCCTTTTCCCGTTCATGTCTAATTGTTTTATCATTTCGTAGTGAATGTCATCAGGTCCAGGTGAGGAGCCTTTGCAGCTTGAACGTGCTTGCTCATTGTAACAACTACTGTCATTATTTCGCGAAATGCTTTGTTGTCTGTTCGATTGAGTGTTGTTCTTATATGTATCTTCTACTTTGTCAAACACATCTTTGTACTTTTCTAATGCATTATGTATTTCCGTTGATAGTCTATTTATTTTGTATTTTGTGTCAGTATTAAGTGTTCTTTTAAATTCTCGAATGGCTTTTTTCCTTTCGATTATTCTATTTTTAATGTCGTCGTTCCAGTATGGTAGCTTTCTCTTACCTTGAAAGCCTTTAGAGGCAGTCATTGATGTTTTGGCTGCGTCCAGTATACGTTTTACAATGTCCTCTGCAAATGAGTCTATGTCTGATCGGTCTAAGTTTTGTAGGTTTATATTTTGTCCAGTCAGCGTCTTTAATGTTGTATTTTTCTCGTCGGGTCACGTTTTTATTTTTACTTTTAGATCTTACAGTTTTTATAAGTGGCAGTGGAAATCTCAGTTTGAGCATTTTGTACAAGAGTCCGCTATGCCAGACTCTGTCAAATGCTTTTTCTACATCCAGGAAGATCATGCCTGTTGACTTTTTGTTGTTTAAGTTTTCTTTTGCTGATTTGATCACTTTGATGAACTGATGAGATGTTGATATTCCGGTCCGGAAGCCGCACTGCTGGCTTGTGATGATGTTGTTATCCTCAAGATGATCGTTGATTCTGATCAGCAATACTCTCTCCAGTATTTTGCTTATTGAGCTGAGTAGACTTATTGGCCTGTAGCTCATTTGCTGGTTTTCCAGGTTTTAGAATAGGAATCATTTTTGCGTGTTTCCAAACTTTGGGGAAGTGATTGAGTTTCAGACACGAATTGATGATGAATTTCAAGTATTCGAAACCTTTTTCAGGAAGATTTTTGATGAGTATGTTGTTGACGTCATCTAGTCCCGGAGCTTTTGGATTTTTCAGATTTCTTAAGATGCTCACGATTTCGTTTACATCTATTAGTTCTGGATTCTCATCATTGTCCTGTTTGCTCTGGTGAACCAAATAGATACGGTTTTTCAGAAGACATAGCTTTCTTCATTGGTGGGAGTTCGAACAGTGGTTTGTTCCCATCTTTTGGTTTGCTACTCTTTTAAAAGGAGCGCTCAGAACTATCACTTCTCGTGGGCGATTTTCTGCTTTACTCGCTTGTTTGAGAAATTTCGCCATTTTTGTTTGTTTTTTTTTGGTTTGAGATTTGTCATCTCAATGTCGGCTGGTTGTGAAACATTATCACTGATAATTTCCTCAATATTGAGAATTTGCACTGAAGATGAATGCTGTTGTTGAGAACTATTAAGTCCTTGTTGATTTTGAGAAAGATTTTCTTCGTTGTTGGTAGTTTTTGGTGATTCTACCATTTTGATGTTTTGAGAATCAAACTGAGATTTTGAAGCTTTTTGCATACAAAAAGCTTCTCAGGCAGAGGTCGAAGTCGATGAAGCAAACTCACTTCACTTCACTAAAATTTCAATCGGTTTCAAGTCAGCTCGAGTGAACTCATTTTTTTCGTGTTCACTCGAGTTGATTTTTTCGTGTTCACTTTAGTCGACTTGAGTTCACTAAGGAAAAAAAAAAATGTAATATACCAAACTGATTTCTGCTAGTGCTTGTGAAGTATATGTGATTACATACAAAATTGCAGAATTTGTTTAATATTTAATGGTGAAATTAAAAACAAGTGAGAAAAAATAGAATTTACGATTCATTCAGTGCACTCATCAATATATCAATGTTGTCAAACAAATAAATCTGAGATTAAAATATATTCACCAAAATTGGAAATATGGTGTGAATTAAAATAAATTTCATTCATAATTGTAGCAGTTCGTAATAAATAATTTCAAATCAGAAAAATAATCTATAGTGCAAAACATTTATAAAATATATGAAATCTAAAAAATATTTTAAATTAATTCGTTTAGTTTGCTTTATGGTTATGAGAAGTAAAGAAGGACAAATTCTGCAATTTTGTATGTAATCACATATACTTCAAGTCGGTTTCAAGTCGACTAAAGTGAACACGAAAATATCAACTCGGTTAAAAGTCGACTAAAGTGAACATGAAAAAATCAACTCGGTTAAAAGTCGACTCGAGTGAACACGAAAAAAATGAGTTCACTCGAGCTGACTTGAAACCGATTGAAATTTTAGTGAAGTGAAGTGAAGTGAAACGACTTCACTTCACCAACTTCGACCTCTGTATCTCAGGTAATCTCTGTTTTGTTTCTTTTGAGATTTTTTGAATAATTTGTGGAGCGATTTGTAAACACGTCTGTTCACCTTGAAATATTGTTTGCAACTGAAGTCTTTGGATTGTTTCTTTGTCATTTTTCCCTAGAATAACATCTATCTCATCCAAAGATTCGAATAGGAAGCTACTAATCCGACAATCCCAACATTACACTTCCTTAATTTCGCGTTAAAAGCCAGAAAGTGAAAAAATGTTTAATAACGGATAGAGGATTGTTGCAAAAATGTCAACAAACAAGAAAAAATAATAATTTTCAATTCCAAACTATCTTGAAACTATTTCAGCTATTAGTTCCTACCATTAAATCACTTTTCAATTATTTTTTAAAGTTTAAGCAATGGAAACTTGGTAGTGGCTTAATAACAGAAAAGAAAACTTTTCAGATCCAATTTTCTTTACCAAGCTACTGTTTTAGTAAGGAGTAGTGCCTTCTAACGTAGACACCTACCCTGTGCTTCCAAAATCTTCTGTGATGTATCATTTTAGATCTCTGAACAACAAAGAGCTATTACGGTAATTAATGTCTGTTAACGAACCAACCAAATTCGTTGTCTTTTGGGCTGTAAAGATTAAGATAAAGTCCATATTACAATATTATCGTCTTATATTTATCTTTTATTTCTCCACGAGATAGCTTAAAAGTGCATCAATTTTCCAAATTTCTGAACTGAGAATTTCTTGTTGAACACTAACATACTTATTATAGTCGTCCAGATCAGAAAAGGGCTTTACATCAACAGTTTTCTGTGTGTTTACGGAAGTATTTAAGCTTTTAAATGTTTGCAGTATATTATAAGAAAAGACTTTAATGTTTTTAAGCTTCTCGATAAGTCTTTCATCCATGATTAATTCCTTTTGACTATCATTTCTTCGATTATTAATATGCTGTCGAAAAATATCTTTCATATCGTTTAGTTGCTTTAAGTGATTGTCATCTAGAATGTTTATTTCTAATTAGCAATTTCTTCAAAATTATTCTGTTTTACATTAATACTTACTATATTCTGTATCTGTAAATAGTTCTTTGTACATTTCATCAGTTTCTTTATTCACTATATCCATTATTCTTATTTTTGATATATTATTTTAATTTATTTATAATAATAATCTTAAAAATTGCCTGAAAAGTACGTTGAAGATTTTTATTTTAAAAATCGGATTTAAATATTTTGAGACGGTTTTATAATCAAGGCACTAAGTTATAACTGTAGATATGAGAAATGAGTTGAAAAAGGCGTGTAAAATGGAAAGCATTAGATGTTTTGATATTAATATATTCAAAAAGATTAATACATTTGTATTATATTGCTTCTTTTCATAATAAAATTTCATCTGGTGTGATCTGGTGTGAATAAACAGATTGAGCTACAAGTAAAAACATTCTTAAATCACAACCATCAAGAAATAAAAGACGCATAAAATAAAATTGAAGTCACTTTTAAGAAATTGCATTGATTATTAAATTTCGCGAAAAAAATGTAAGTGTGTATAGATTAATAGATAGAAAATTAGCATGAACATAATTCAAATAGATCTAAAGTTAATGTGAGTCAAAGTGAATTTTAAAATTCTATGATTTAGTGAAAAAAGTGCTGAGCAGTTCATATAGAAGAGATTATATTTATTGTATAAACAATTGATTAATTCAATAAATTTTCCGGCTTATTTTACAAAAATGGAGCAGAATTCCGATAATCACGATGAATTGACTATAAAGCAACAGAAGGAAATCGAAAAGGAGGTCTGAGAGTGTAGAATAAATGAAAAATATTTGTGACTTTATAGAATTAATTTTTTTCTTCTATAGATCAATGAGCAGTTTGCATTAATCAGTGAAAAAATTCCAATTGAAATCTTAAACGATGAATATGCTGATGATCCAGTGTATAGGCAAAAAGTTCAGGATATTTCATCCAAGTACAGGTAGAACAGTAGTTATATAAAAATATCGACAAATGTTATTATTTAAAAAAAGAAGGAATTCTCAAAATGATTTGTCTTTAGCGCGAATCGAACGCAATTGCCGGTGCATAACTGACGTGATACGAGGTTTGATTTCTGCTCGAGACATAATTTTTCCTTTGACTCTTAAGCTCAATCTTGTCGAACTTTAAAGTTAATTTTATAAATTAATGTTTTCATGCATTTATGTTAACTGCAGGTACATGCGTAAGATTCGTCCTGACGGTAACTGTTTTTATCGTGCATTTGGATTCACTACATTAGAGTATTTGATTAAAAACAAGGAAGAATTTAAGAAATTTCGTCAAGTAATTGAACAGTCTAAAGTAAGTCTGTAACGCTGTTATTTTTATATACACAAGAAGACATTCTCATGGAAGAAAATAATTTGTATTTTAGGCAAAGTTAATTGAATTAAACTTTCCACAGTTTACGATTGATGATTTTTATGACACTATCATGGAAGTTATAAATAAAGTTGAGCCATCAGACACACAAGACGTAAACAAGGTTCTCGACGAACTCTATAAACTGTTTAATGAACAGGCTTACAGTGATTATATTGTCGTGTATTTGCGACTAATAACGTCAGGGAAACTTCAAGAAGAAGCAGAGTTCTATTCAAATTTCATTGAAGGCAATTATACAAGTTTACTAGATTTTTGCAAGAAGGAAGTGGAACCAATGTATAAGGAAAGTGATCATATTCACATAATTGCTATTTGTGCTGCTCTCGGCTGTGCTGTTAGAGTTGTATATATGGATCGTGGAAGTCAATCTGAAGTAATTGCTCATGACTTTCCTGATTGCCCAGACAACAATCCATCAGTTTCCTTATTATATCGACCCAACCATTACGATGTTCTTTATCAATAAATAATCTATATAATTAGGCTTGTAACCATCACAATTTCTCTTTGCAAAAAAAAAACCTGGCTATTGAACTCTTTAAAATACATTAACATTTTCTGAAATTAATCATATCATATCGTTTTTCATAAAGATAAACGACATGTTAATAATTTCAGTCACAAAATAAATTGAAATGTATAAAAACTTGATTAATACACGTGCTGTGCTCAGCAATGATCAATTGTCAATTCGTCTGTAAAGAGAAATAAGCCAAAATGCTGTAAAATTGCAATTTGTGTGAAAATATAGTTATGTGTCCTTTTATTTATTACAAATATGAATATGTAATGGAAATTTCATGATTTTTTGCATTGAATTTTTAAAACATTTAATTTTTTTACGTTAGCTTATAAATTCATTTAATCTCAACGGCATGCTTTTTAATGTGTATTTCCTGGAGATTAAGGATAGATGGTCTGAATCATGTTTAAAGTACTTTTTTTGAATTTATCTATGCCTGTTTGGCAGTTATCTTAAAAATTAGCAAAACTTATCCAAACTTCAATCCAGAGAATTTCACACTTAATTGTCAAATCCACAATTAAAGCTAATGTTTGCTAGTTATGATTATTAAATAAGTTTTTCCTTTGTAGTTTTATATTTTTTCTATTTCCTGAAAATGAGAATCATAAATAAATTAAAGACTTATTAATTTTAACATTTAATTTTTTAATTCAACATTATCGCCAATTTTTCGCGTTTTTATTGTTTTAAGTATGTTAGCAGGAATTTGAAAGGTCATTCGACTGTTTTCAAATCTCTGACAATTATAAATTTTCGTTTTATTTCATTTCCCCAAAAATAAAATACAATTAAATAAAAATAGACCTTGAACCCAGATATTATAAATAAAAATTAAAGGAACTTAAATAATAAAATAATATCAAAAAATATGAACCTTTTACAATTAAAGTTGTGATTTTAGTTCACATCTTAGAAGAGAGGAAAATAAAAAATATAGGCGGAAATGGCCACAATTGGATCTAATATCTATTATTCATTTTGATGCATCAAATGATGAACAAAGAATAAGCTTTGAGAGAAGTGAAGATCAAACCACTACTGCCATTTCCAGTATTTAACTTAAAATTTATTTGAAATGCATCGACTATTTAGAGTGTCCAAATAAAGATTTGTTTTGTAGAAAATTTTGAAATAAGAAAAAGATAAAAATTTGAAACTCTTATTTTCTGAAAACTTTATGGATTAGTGGTTTAAGCATGTATTGGAATGAAGTGTAGAAATGCTTGTTGGTGGTGGATGTTTTTCCTCATTATTACGTTCTAATTGTTATTGACATGAAGGTAGAATTGCAAAATGCGCATAAATTCGGTAAAATAAAATCATAAGAAAACTTGAGGAAATAGACAAACGAAAAGTACGACTTGAAATTCATTTGGCGAAATTATTCTTATAACTTCGATCCATCTAGTCAGTTTGCATTGCAAATAGCCATTGCTTCTTCTTTTTCTTCCAACAACTCTTTTGTGGTAATATCCAATTTTCCACGTGCAAATTCGTCAATGTTTAATCCTTGAACCTAATAAAAGATAGCATCCTTAATTTCACATCTTAAAAAATTCATGTTTTTAGATCTTACGATTTTCCATTGTTTATTCTGAATTTCAACTGGGAAGGAGAAAACAATATCTTTTGGAATATTATAGCTTCCATCAGATAAGACACCCATTGAAACGAATGTTCCGGTAGTTCCGAGCCACCAATCACGTACATGATCAGCTGCTGCTTTTGCTGCAGACATTGCTGAGCTCATTTTGCGAGCAGCAATTACAGCAGCTCCACGTTTTTGAACAGTCTCAATGAATTCTGACTGCAAGTATGAAGTATCAACTAAATCTGTTATTGCCTTTCCATTAGCTGTACCGTTCGCGACATCTGGAAATTGAGTTGCTGAGTGATTCCCCCAAATGATAATATTCTGGACGTTTGAAATGTCTGTGCCAACACGTTGAGCGACTTTAAAAATAAACAAGTTAATATTAAAACATAGAACCTGTTTTGTACCGCAATTATTAGCATATTCTTACTTTGTGCTCTTGCTCGGTTTTGGTCTAATCTTGTCATGGCCGTGAAATTCTCTTTTGGAATTGTTGGTGCATAATGAGAACAGATCAAAGCGTTGGTATTTGCTGGATTGCCAACAACTATAAAACATTTCACTTTTAATAACTTTTCGTTTCCTTTAAAAAACACAGTACATACCCAAAACTTTGACGTCCTTTTTAGCATAAGTGTTTAATGCTTCACCTTGAACTTTAAAGATCTTAACATTTGCTGAGAGCAGATCTTTTCTTTCCATTCCTGGATTGAAAATAAACAAATAAGTGGTCTGATATGCATCTTTAATAATAATTTCCGTACCTTGTCTTCTTGGCATAGCACCAACCAGGAAAGCTACAGACACATCTTTGAAAGCTACAGCTGGATCGGCTGTTGGGATAACTTGTGTCAACAATGTAAAAGCGCAATCACTTAGTTCCATAACGACACCCTCTAAAACTCCCATCATTGGCTCAATATCCAATAATGTCAAAATGACTTTTTGCTCTCTACCAAAAACATCTCCTGGATGATTCAAATTATGCAAATAATGTTGATTAATTTATATATTTAATAGGCACAACTTGTAAAATTTAAAATTACCATTTGCAATCATATAGAGCAACGAGTAGGCAATTTGTCCAGCCGCGCCGGTGACACAAACTCTGATTGGCTCACTCTGAAGATAACAAAAATTACAAAGGCATGTTAATCAAATTTATGAATTATCAGTTCAAGTACTCTCTAATAAACATGTTTTCAATAACTTCATCTTATGTATATTTAATTCATAATTTATGACGTCTTAAGTTCTTATTTTCTTGTTTGCCACATTTCAAAGTTGCCAATTAAATATTATTTAAAAGAAAGCATTTATGTTTGCGTCTACGAATTTTGTAAGGAACAACAATAATCATCATGAGATATTTGAAGGTCAATTCAATGTGAAAAATAGAACAATTGTATTATTTAGCAACATCAATACCGCAAAATGTGCATTTCAATTGTCGTCATTAAACGTAGAACAAACGAGCAAGTATTCTCAATTGCACGAGAGAAAGTGCAACTTTATACTTATTATGTAATGAACAGAATACGATAGCAACATTCACGATTGGCACTTGTTCAAAAACACTAGCAAAACGTAAAATTTCGCATTTTGCATAGATATATAGTATGACTTAATTGGTTATTTTTAATAAAAACTTACCATTTTAAAAAGGATAATTAACAAATTTGTATGAACGGAGAATTGGAAGCAAAAATATATATAAATTTCTAGAACCTTAAAGAGCTTTCTGTTAACGAATCTGCTCGAGATCACTGCTATCAACAAACTGATTCTTTAATCAATTAAAATTAAGCACTAGTTTCTTATCTATCAAACTTGACTTTAAAACTCTTCTCTCCAAAATTGAATGAAACAGTACTAAGGAAATTGAGATCGATGTCTCGAAGCGCATTTGACGACGACTATATATAAATTTATATTAAAGAATCGGATCAATTAATATCCGATGCATAAAGCTATACATAGGGTTTGAGGGATGATTTTGATGGAAATAAGAAGCAACCCAGAAAAATCCACTCAATTTGCTTGTAAAATAATAACGTTTCCTGAAAGGTTAAATTTTGCTGAATCGTGTAATTTAGGTTGTTTCATCAATGACGTCTATAAACTAGTGTATCGGGTAGAAACCCAATGCGGATATATTCACACCGTACCATAGAATGTCTTATGGATAGACCAAGATTATAATGCTGGCGAGTCAGCTGAGCTTCACTCAGCATAAGTTTGAAGGTATAAAGCTTGCGAGTCAGCTGAGCTTCACTCTGCATAAGTTTGTAGGTATTAAGCTTGGGGGCCATTCACTCATTACGTAACGCTTTTAGGGGGAGGGGGGTCTAAGATTTTGTTACGATTCAAACAAGGAAATTTTTTTTTCATACAAATTTTGTTACGAGGGGGGGGGGGGTCTAAGAAGTCATTTTTTCGCATTACGTAATAAGTGAACAGCCCCTTGCGAGTCAGTTGAGCTTCTCTCAGCATAAATTTGAATGTAAAGAGCGAGCGAGTCAGCTATTTTTGGCAAATGATGTGAAATTTCAGGCACAAACTTTTTTTTAGGACCTTATATCACCTCAATCTAAAAATCCCTAAAATGCAGCTACCCTAAAATGCAGATAATACTGCCAAGATGCAGATGGTGCTGCTAAAGTGCAAATGAAATTTATTTTCCCTAAAATGCAGATGAAATGCTGTTGCTTTAAAAAAGGTATAACGCAGATAATTTTTATCGTATAAAGTGCAGATAAGATGTTTCCTAAATGTAGATCCTATAATTTCATTAAAATACATCAATATTCGATGACTTTTTTTCTTGATGCGTGTTAATGACTTTAAATGATCCATAATGAAATGTAAGGGTAATTATTTTGTCTGATGACATATTTATGTATATATTGGGTCGAGTATCCTTTTTATGAGCTCATTTATATATCTTGCAAAAATGTTACATGTCGTTTAACATCAAAACTAGTGTATCGGGTAGAAACCCAATGCGGATATATTCGCACCGTATACGGCCGTACCATCAAAAGTCTTGCGGAAAGACCAAGATTTGCTCAGTATTAATTTGAAAGTGTAAATCCTGACGAACCAGCTTAGCTACGCTCAGCATATGTGTGAAGGTTTTAAACTTAACGAACATTCTTTAAAAGTTTTTTAAAAAAATTTTCATCCAAAGTTTAATTTTATAAAAATCACAGTGAACTTTTAATTTGAAAAATTCGTAAGAAAGGAAAGTTTTTTGCTTTTTCTGAAGCAACGGCTGTTCCTACCTTGCCCAAAAACAATACAACTCATCTATAGAGCAGCACGGATCAAATGTATAAAACTAGAAATCTCTACGATGTCTCGTTATTGAGATTTCTTGCTGATTAACTTGCTTGCTTGCTTGTTTGCTTACAGAAAGAGTATTTTGCGATTTTCTCAGCAATGCCACAACCAATTTGAAATCTGTTTTTTGCAAAAGATGTGAATTTTAGGCACAAACTTTTCATCACCGTACATTTTAAGTTATCTTGCTCCATATCCTCACAAAATTCAAAAAACTGATTTTTCAATCTGAACAAAACCATTAGATTCACACGTGAAAACGGTGTGAATATAAAAAATAAATTTCATCTGCACTTTAGCAGTACCATCTGCATCTTGGCAGTTCTATCTGCATTTTAGGGTAGCTGCATTTTAGGGATTTTTAGATTGAGGTCCTTATATAACCAATTTTGCTTCGTTTCCTCACAAAATGCGAAAAACTGATTTTTCAATCTGAACAAAACCAACAGATTCACACGTGAAAACGGTGTGAATATAATATCTATGTTTCTAGACGTCACAAGCGAAAGACCCCATTCAATGTTTATGTTTTTCTTTTGTGTTTTTAAAGGAAAAAAAAAAAGGTTTTTAACCGGTTTGACTTAATTAGTAGAATTTAAAACGAAATGTGAAAATGTGAAGAATGTTTTGATTAGTTAAAGGTGTAATGTGTTTAAAAATTAAATAGAATCGGACATTATTGAGAATATATAACAAAAATCTGGATGAATCATAGTTAAATACTAGTTATCAACATAAAATAAGTAAAGTATGACTGACGAGGACGTGAACTGGAATGTTTTCTGCGAGACAGGATTAAACATTTCAACAAATACAAGCTCTATTACTAGTTGTGCTCAACAGTTTTACTTCCATCTTCCTACGTTTTCATTACTAGCTATATTCAGTTCATATAATTATGGAAAACTTGCAAACTCTCTGTTAAGGAACAAAACTCAACTGTTTTCACTGTATCTAAGAGCATTGATTTCTCTTTCGTTAGCATTGCTCCCTTTAGTCAAATTTATTTATGAAATGAAAACGGGAATAAAAATTTGGCCAGTTGATATCCTCCTTGCATGCGCTGAAGCTTTATGCTGGACAGTCCATTTCGGTATTAAGCTTAATTGCTTTTAATCATAAATAAATATTAATTTAATTATCTTTAAATTACAGTATTCATAATAGCTTGTCGAAAATTTGGAAGTGTAAGTCATCGAGGACCACTATCAGTACTAATTTTATGGTCATGCTCTATAACATTATCAATCCTATGGTACCAAACAAACACGAGTGTATTCAGTATAATAAGAGTTGTATTAAATATTTCCTACGCATTAACGTTAATTCCAAAAGGCAAAGCTCAATATATTATATCGGAAAGAGATTACGAAAGAGAACCTTTAATTAATGCTTATCACAGATTATTAGTCGATGGAAATGAAGAGGATTTTGTCCTTGGAACAGCTCAAGATGGATACAATATTTTGAGCAAGATAATTTTTCATTGGGTATCGCCATTAATTATAAAAGGCACACTGGGAAAGCTGAGAAAAGTTGAAGATTTGTTTGACTTACCAGATTGCTTAAACATCAAATATATATCAGAAAGTTTTCAAGTCAACATTAGGACAGGTATAACTTTATTTAAAGCACTTCATCGCTCATTTGCTTACGAATTTTATCTTGTTGGAATTCTACGTCTTGTATCTGATTTAACAAGTTTTGGAGGTCCTTTGCTACTTGGCGGATTATTGAGAACTGGAATGAGTGAAAATGATGAAAACAATTATGAGTCATTTTATTATGCGGGCGGGTTGTTTTTATGTACACTTATTTCAGCAGTTACTAATGTACATTTCAACTGGAAAATTTCCATAGTATCATGCAAAATGAAAACTGCAATTATTTCTTCAATATATGTTAAGACTTTGGAGGCAAAAGGCTTACATGAAGCTAAACCAGAAATACTTAATTTAATGTCAACTGATTGCGATCGTATAGTCAATTCATGCATATCATTTCACTCGTTTTGGAGCATACCATTTCAATTATTTACCACACTATATCTTCTATATACGCAACTTAAGTTTGCATTCATTCCCGGAGTTATTTTCGCAATAATTTTAATTCCAATAAATCGCTATATTGCTGTTAAAATCGGTGAATTATCAGCCAGTTTAATGGCTGCAAAAGATAAAAGAGTTCAACTCACAACAGAGGCATTGACAGGATCAAAGCAAATAAAAATGCAAAGCCTTGAAGACATTTTCACTGAAAAAATAGAAGTTTTGAGAAAGCAGGAAGTCGTATTTTTATCAAAAAGAAAATATCTTGATGCATTATGCGTATATTTTTGGGCAACAACTCCAGTGATCATGTGTCTGTTGACATTTGGAGGATTAGTCATATATGGACAAAAGTTGACAGCTTCTGTTACATATACATCAGTTGCATTATTAAATCTATTAATTGGACCACTAAATGCATTTCCTTGGGTTTTAAATGGATTAATGGAAGCTTATGTTTCATTGAAACGTGTCCAAGAGCTGATTAATTTAGAAAATATCGACTTGTCAAAATACTACTCTCCACTTCCAATGAATTACTCAAAAAAAACAAATAATCCTATAGTCATTTCAATTAAAAATGGATCATTCTGTTTTGAAAAGGAACGTGATCGATCAAATGTGAATGCAGAAGATGTTGTAGACTTTATATTAGAAAATATAAATTTGGAAATCAGACATGGCGAGCTGGTAGTTATTGACGGAATAACAGGTTCTGGAAAATCAGCATTATTAAATGCCATGATAGGAAATCTCAAAAAATTGGGTGGAAATGTATCAATTAAAGACAATGATGTAGGTTTTGGATATGTCTCACAAACTGCATGGCTCCAAAGAGGAACAATTAAGGAAAATATTTGTTGGGGCAAAATATATGATGAACGGCTTTATCAAGCAGTGATAAATTGTTGTGCATTAACAGAAGACATTGAAAAGTTAGGAGGTGACAATATAGGAATTGGAGAAGCAGGAAAAACACTTTCGGGAGGCCAAAGAGCAAGATTAGCTTTAGCAAGAGCTCTTTATCAAGATAAACAAGTTTATTTTATGGATGATGTACTGTCCGCACTCGATGCTCATGTTGCCAATCATGTAATCAAGTATTGTATTTTCGGATATTTATTAAAAAAGACTAGAATAATTGTGAGCCAAAATAAGACACTGTTAGAGCATGCAAATCAAATAATCACAGTAGATAAAGGCACAGTTACAAGTATTGACTTGATGAACGAAGATGAGGATGATTTGAGTGATGATGAACAACTAGATTTTACAACTAGTCGACAAACTCCCACGCAAATTGATTCAGACAGAAAATCGGTTGACAGTTGTATGCAAGAGGAATCGAAGGAACATGGAACTATTTCGTCTTCAGTGATATTTGTTTATTGGAAATCTATGGGGATATTTACTGGTGTATTAACGATAGTCAGCGTTTTAATGATGCAATTGTCACGAAACACAACTGATGCATGGCTGGCTCATTGGGTGAGCCTTGAATCAGCCTCGAATAATACAACTATAGATACTCAAATTTATCTAGAAATTTATACTTCATTAGGTATTGGGAATTCAATACTTACACTAATTAGATCATTTTTATTTGCTTATGCTGGAATTAAAGCAGCAAAAATAATTCATGATAAACTTTTAAAGAATGTTTTTTACACAACGATTCAATTTTTTGATACCCAGCCATTGGGCCGCATCCTTAATAGATTCTCGAGTGACATTTTTACAATCGACGACTCTTTGCCATTCATTTTTAATATTCTTTTGGCCCAAATTTTTGGATTACTGGGATCTCTAGCTGTTACAATTTACGCCATTCCGTGGTTACTCTTCATAGTAGCACCACTTGTTCCAATTTATATTGACATACAATCCAAATATCGTAACTCATCACGTGATATTAAAAGAATTTCAAGCAATTCTTTATCACCATTATATACACAATTTACTGAGACAATTCAAGGCTTAAAAACGATTCGATCTATGGGTGGATCTTGGCGATTCAAACAAGATTTTACTCTGAAATTAGAGGAAAATATTAAAGCTCAAGTAAGTTCACAGGCAGCTTCTTGTTGGCTTTCTATGAGACTACAATTGCTTGGTGCATCAATAGTTGGAGGCTGTGCAATTTTGACTGTTTTGACTTCAGCTCACACGAGTTCTCCAGGAATGGTAGGATTGGCAATTTCGTATGCACTCAGTATTAGCAGTTTGCTGAATGGAGTTTTAAATGCATTTACTGAAACCGAACAGGAAATGATAAGTGTTGAGCGAGTTAGTCAATATCTTAAATTACCGTCGGAACCAAATGCTCATGGAACTATGGACCCACCTTTCGGGTAAGCTGACAATATTTTTACTATAAATTGAAAGTTGATTTACAAAGTATTATATTAACCAGATGGCCATGTCAAGGCGTAATCAAGTTCAAAAATGTCTTTATGAGTTATCGAGAAAATTTGATTCCAGCACTTAATGGAGTATCATTTGAAGTAAGTCCTAATTCTCAATTCCTAATTATTTGTTTTAATGTTCTACTTGATTTTTTAGACAGCATCGTATGAAAGAATTGGAATTTGTGGACGAACTGGTGCCGGGAAAAGCTCTATAATTAATGCAATACTTAGAGTTTCTAATTTAACACGAGGGGAAATTTTAATTGACAACGTAAACATAAAAACACTTCCTCTAAGTGTTTTAAGAAGTCGCGTTGCAATAATTTCACAAGAGCCGTTTCTATTTGAAGGAACTGTTCGAGACAACATCGATCCTAGAGGTCTTTTCATGGATTCTGAGATTTTTAATGCGATAAGCCATTCTAAGACTGCTCTGCTCATTCAAAAATTAGGAGGTCTTTATGGAAAAATTGAGAGCTTTGGTTCAAATTTATCATGCGGACAACGCCAACTATTGTGCTTGACTAGAGCTCTTTTAAGAAGCGCAAAGGTAAGTTTTCATTTCAAACTTTGCAGGTTCAAGATTATAAAACTCTTATTTGGATAGATAATTTTAATCGATGAAGCTACATCGAACTTGGATAAAGACTCAGAGTTTGGGGTGCAGATAGTTTTGAAGAATGCTTTCAAAACATCAACTGTTTTAATGATAGCACATAGACTGGATGGCTTGCAAAACACGGATCGAGTTTTTACTGTCAATAATGGAGAAATTATTGAGACTGGCGAATTTAAACAATTAGTAAAAGATGAAACTTCTTACTTGTACCAAATGTTAAGAGAACAGAAAAGTAACTTAATTTAAAACCAAATATTGTATGAGTTTGTATTTAAACAATAATCGTATGTGATTAAAACTTTGTTTTTAAAAAACTTTAATGCTCATGCTTTACTCGTTTTAATGCTACATAACTTCGTTTAGTTGATAAATCATGATAGCCAAAAGGTCCCATTTCACAATCAGCACATATAAGATATTTATAATTTCCAACGCTAATTGAAAAGCCTATGTTTTCAAAATGAAACATATCCTCGATGATCCAATACTCCTTAAAATTTTCGGAATCAAACTCATCAATTGATTTTGAGTGCTTTTGATGCATCAGCGGTAGTGAGAATTCACTTTCTATAAATGTCCCAACATTATTCAACATTATTAAGCTATTGCAGAACTGGCATCTTAAAGATATAGCAGAAAAGATTTTTATTTTTCAGGAAGTCTATTTACGATAAAAAAATGATTCTTCACCTACCTGACTTTATGCAAATTCTTTTGATTCTCGTTAAGTTTGTCTGCATTGTCTTGATTATCCATAATACAGGAATGATTTATGCTTAAAATTAATTAATTTTGGTAAAATTTTTTTCTGAATATTTTCAAAACAAACCACTGAAGCGTCGCTTTATTCAAAAATATTCGAAAAAAGACGTTACGATCACACAACGTGTCTGACTCAAATAATGCAAAGTATCAAGCAGAACAAAGAAGAAACATTTAGAGTGCTATGGCTTGAATTAAAAAGTGCTTAAAAATATGTAATTATTACTGAGAATAACTGTAATTTTGGAATTCAATTTAACTTTAATATAAACGAAGAAATTAATGAACAGGTGCCAAAAATTCTAATCGTTGAAAATCCTGTGATGTCAGTTCTTGTCTCTTTTCAATCCTATAAGTTTTTAAAGAAAAAACAAATCTTCTTGTTATTATCGTTTTCTTCATTTCTTCATGCTACTTACTTTTTCTTTCACTTAACATCTTCATTCATTCTCCATTAAGTTCTCTTAAAGACAAGTTGACTGTTATTTGATTCCTGTGCAGTAATTCATTTATTTGGAATATTATCTGTCTCATATATCTTTAGATTAAGTCTGGTAGGTCAGTATTTGTTTGATAACAAAATATCATGTGTATGCGACTTCTTTTCATATTTAAACAAAAAATTCTAACGTCTAAATTAGTCCCGTTAATTTTTATATTACAGAAATCGCAATGTATCTTCAAATCTTTGTGCTGATTTTTCTAATTAATCTTTCAAATGTGGCTGCAAAAGAGAATGATACGTCAGATGCGAAGAAATCAGATTCTCGGACAATTTACGATCAACGTCAAACAGGAAAGTATAATGTACATGTGAATATAAAGGATGTACAATTCTTCAGTTTGAGTGACTCAATTAGTAGTCTTGGCGATTACGGTTCTTATGATTATGGAGAGTATGGGCAAGTTGATGGCGATGGAGACTACGATATTTCACATTTGACTGTAAATCCAATCTTTGCATTTCTTGGTACACAATCGAAGCCCACAAAGCCATCAACAACAACTCAGCCAACAACAGAAAAAGTTGATTTTAGTAGTAGCACTCTCGTGTCACAAGAATTATCGTCTTCTCCTAATAAAGAAACGACAACGATGAAACAAGAAATACAAACAACTGTAAAACAAGAGAACATCTCTAATACTTTTCTATCATCTACAACGGCAAAACCGGCTCTCGGACCATTAAAACTAAATGAATCGATTGATTATGAAGAAATACCTGTAGAAGTCCAATATTATCGTGCTAATCACCCTAAATTACCTTTGGCTTATGCATCATTATTACAAAATCATAATAGACACGCAATCAATCTTAAAAGGCACCGACAACCATCTGTGGTGCAGATACTTGATGGGAGACGAAACAATAATGTAAAAATCGTAGAAAGTGGTGATGATCAAGAGCGAACAGTAAAAATTTGTGGTCGAGGAGAATTTCGAGATAGCAATGGACGATGTAGAATAAAAGTAAACGGCCGAAAGCATGTTCGGGGATTGTAAGTAAAATAAAGAAAGTAAAAAGCCTTAATTAAGAAGTCATTTTAAAATATAGACGCATATTTAGGGGAATCAATATACAATCATATTCTTCAATTTGAATGATGGGACGTCAGTCTAAAAGTAATAAATTTATTAATGTCAATTATCTTCTCTTGCTTTTTCTTAGGCGTCGGGTATTTAATGCTCTTTCATCAATACTTCCAAAATCAAAGTGATTCGATAAATTCTTCATTTATTATCATTATTAATATTATTTAGGTATTCAAACTTTATTAACATGTATCCTTTTACACATCGTATGTACTTTATCGTTTTTTAAAAACTAGATGAAAGAAAAATAAAATAAAAATGTACAAATGATGTAGCATGATTTTCACAATAAAAATTTCATTATTCTCATACAATTGTCTTTTTTATGACCTAATGCTAGTAGTTTAATAAAAACCTGGTTAAAAAAATCAACATAATTCAAACTCAAAATTGAGAAAAAAGAAATAAAAATATAAAATAAAACTGTTGTAAAAAGTAACAGGGAATGGAAATTATGTTTCTGTAATTCACTGAATTATCACATTATAATCTACATGAAATATTATTAATAAAAGAAATCATTTTCAAATGAAACGAAACAAAACATACAAAAAGAAAATGTTGAATCATAATATAAAGCGCATTTATAAAAAACAACATTATGATTCACTTTGCACGGCTGACTAATTAAAAACTCAAAAATTGGAAGATCTACATATTTCATGTAAAGTTATATGTATTTTAATTAAGAACATTTTTGGGCAGTAAGATTTTTGAGATTTCTGTTTGTAAGTCTAAGATATAAATGCGTTTCTGTTTGATAAGTGATCTAGATAATGAATCGATAGTAAGGAAAGCCAAAGACTGAAATATGTCTTTTGGGGCTGTTCACTTATTACGTAACGCGAAAAAATGACTTTTTAGACCCCCCCCCCCCCCCTCGTAACAAAATTTGTATGAAAAAAAAATTTCCTTGTTTGAACCGTAACAAAATCTTAGACCCCCCTCCCCCCCTAAAAGCGTTACGTAATAAGTGAATGGCCCCTTTAAATGCAAGCTTTTTCAGTAATTTGGGAGGTCTTTAGAATTTTCATAATATTAATGGACAGCCGTGGAAAGTGTATTGCACTTTATGACATATTTTAAACTTTTTTTTTCTCTTCACTACTTTACATGGTTTACTTCTTTTACTTAATTTTAAGTACAGATCACATTGTTTAAATGCAAATAAAATATTAAATTTGGACAGCTTCTTAAGAAGTTTTAGATATAATTTTGCCCATTGTAACTTTGTTTGCATTTAAATCTAAATTTCCTGTATGAAGTCTTCTTTTATTTCTTCATCCTTTTTATTTAATTTACTTTTAACTCCTCAAGAAGGAGAGCCATGATAAAAACAAAAATTTAAATTTAATTTAAACCCGCCTTAACTATGGTATTTCCTTTTTATCTACATTTATTTAGATAATTAATATAATAATATCAATCGAGACCAATTTAGGATATTCAGAAAAAAGAGGGTGGACAGATTTTTTTTCTCTTTTAAATAACAACTCAACATGGACTTCCTCAAAGTCTACACAAACAGAACAAAAGGGGAATGAAGAGTACAATACCTACAAAAATGCTTATCATCAATTGATCGTCCATTGAATCATACGGAGATTCTGATCTTGGTCCACTCGTTTTCCTTGGTTTCGACATAACTGGCTTTTCTTCTTCAATAATTGGCGGTGCACTTTCTTCTACTGGTTCTGGATTCTCTAGGAGTGGAGGTAATTTGGGTATATTGTTTATATCGCTGCCTTTGATCAATACAATTCCGTTAATTTTTGGATTGTCACGATAATTTTTAAGAAACTCCACGCGCACTTTTCCTCCTCTTATTTCTGATTCCTCTTCCTTGTAATACAGTCTATTTCTCGATACGCTAAAATGAATATATTCATCATGTGCAACACCTTTACCAACATTAGCAAAAATATCCAAGTCAGATATGATTTTGTGATCAGCGTTAAGGACTACATCGAAAACCTTTGAGTTTGGTGAATTAAAGTAAACTTCACTAAATTTTAAAATCAACACATAATCGCCATCTCCTGCCAATGGAATTTCATAGCCAAAAGTAGATGTGTGATATCTTTCCGTTTGATAAATAATTTCATCTGCTTGATTTACACGTCCAATACTTGACAGAGATTTTCCAAAGTCTGATGCGGTTCCAACTTTTAAATTATCTTGACTGTATTTAATTCCAGCTGAATCAGTATGTTCCTCTCCCCCGCAATTAACAGCATATATTACTTTATATCCATAAGATTTTTCAACTATATATACGACTAAGAGTAATGTTAAAAGAGATATGTTTTTCCTTGTCATCATTTTCCTAGTACCGACTTTCTTGCTCCTACTTTTAAGGTTAATATATTATTTATTTCCTAGCTAAAACACTTTTATCTATCACTGTGCAATGCTTTCTCATTAATTTTAATGCAGAATATTGAATTAATCTGTTTTTTTTTTTTCGTGTGCTATCAATTCAGTGACCAAGAATAAATTTTCAATTACGTGGTATAAAAAATTGCCGACAACTTAAAACTATCGAATAAATTTGAGAAACTTGTACGTGTCGGATACTAGCGTTATTTACTTTATTCTACAACATTTTCCAATAATTTATTTAAAGTTTTTAATTTAACAACATTTCCGACAAATTTTTTTTCCACTCGTCCACGAATTTTGGGCAATTCCATATACTGTTGAATCATTTACTTTTGCTTGGTTGGCTCGGGTTGACAACTTTTCAGTGATAAAAGTTTTAATATGCTTCGAACATGATTACATCACAAGTTTTCTCTAGTTACATTTTACTTGTAATAAAATTATTGAATCATAAATCGTTAATAATGTTTTAAAAATATAACCATGTGAGGAATTCCATTTGCGTCAAATCGTTGATTTTGTTCAGTAACGCTTTAAAAAACCAAAATTTAAATATATTTAACCGTTAAATTAAAAAGGATCATATTTTTAAGAACTTTCATTGTTTTATTGAAACACATTAATTTTCCATTTTTATGTATCTCTAAAGGATGTTCTCATAATTATTTTTATATTCACACCGTTTTCACGTGTGAATCTATTGGTTTTGTTCAGATTAAAAAATCAGTTTTTCGCATTTTGTGAGAAAACAAAGCAAAATTGGTTATAAACGGGCAAGAAGAAAAGTTTGTGCCTGAAATTTTACATCATTTTCAAAAAACAGATTTCAAATTGGTTGTGGCATTGCTGAGAAAATCGCAAAATACGCTTTCTGTAAGCAAACAAGCAAGCAAGCAAGCAAGCAAGTTAATCAGCAAGAAATCTCAATAACGAGACCTCGTTGAGACTTCTAGTTTTATACATATGATCCGTGCTGCTCTATAGATGAGCTATATTGTTTTTGGGCAAGGTAGGAACAGCCGTTGCTTCAGAAAAAGCAAAAAACTTTCCTTTCTTACGAATTTTTCAAAAACAAAAGTTGACTGTGATTTTTATAAAATTCAACTTTGGATGAAAATTTTTTTTAAAAAACTTTTAAAGAATATTTGGCATATTCGTCAAGCTTTATACCTTCAAACTTATGCTGAGCGTAGCTCAGCTGACCCGATAGCTTTATATCTTCAAACTTATGCTGAGCGTAGCTCAGCTTACGCGATAGCTTTATAACTTCAACTTATGCTGAGCGAAGCTCCACTGCCTCTCTAATTTCATATCTTCAAACTTATGCTGAGCGTAGCTCAGCTGACACTCTAGCTTTATATCTTTAAACTTATGCTGAGCGAAGCTCCACTGCCTCTCTAGCTTCATATCTTCAAACTTATGCTGAGCGTAGCTCAGCTGACACTCTAGCTTTATATCTTCAAACTTATGCTGAGCGTAGCTCAGCTTACGCGATAGCTTTATAACTTCAAACTTATGCTGAGCGAAGCTCAGCTGCCTCTCTAGCTTCATATCTTCAAACTTATGCTGAGCGTAGCTCAGCTTACGCGATAGCTTTATAACTTCAAACTTATGCTGAGCGAAGCTCAGCTGCCTCTCTAGCTTCATATCTTCAAACTTATGCTGAGCGTAGCTCAGCTTACGCGATAGCTTTATAACTTCAAACTTATGCTGAGCGAAGCTTAGTTGACTTATCAAGCTTCATACCTTCATACTTATGATGGGCAAATCTTGGTCTATTCATAAGACTTATGATAGTACGGTGTGAATATAATCCGCATTGGGTTTCTACCCGATACACTAGTTAATCATTTAGTATTACTTTAAACCACAATCAAATAATAAATGGGCTTGCTTGCATCATTTATCATACTTTTATTCCGCATTTTAAAGGATTTTTCTTTAATATCTAAAAATTATTTTATTAATCTCTACGTTTTATTTTTGCAATATGCCATTTTAATCGCAATACTTAATTAATTAATTCTTCACAAACTTAGTATCAATTTTCTTTTTGAAATATTCTGCAGTCCTTTTTATAACATTTCTATCCACTTATCCACAGATTTTAATTTTCTTTAATATTTCCATATTAATTTTAAATCGCAAACTTTTATTATTATGTTCATCATTTTTATAAAAAATACATTTACTTTAAGTCATTACAATTATGAACTAAAAAAAAAGTTTGTTTTTCGCACTTAATGAGAGGAAAAAAATCTGAATAGCAGAAGATCAAAGTTATTTCTATTCCTTTTTGTTTATCATTTTTTTTTTGTATCAATTATAATATAATGCTTTTAGATAATTCAAAAATAAATCAATTTTGAAAAATGTTGACTTGACCAATTTTTCTATATCCATTGCTCTAAGACATGTATGTATGTAAATTTGTTCTTAGATGACATAAATTTAGAAATTTGTTGATTATTTCTGTAGTATACCTTAATTTTTAATTATAAAGTAAAGTCATGAATGATGAATTGAGGCGAAAATCACAAGACGAAATAAAATTTGTCGTTTACAATAAAACTAAAATAAAAGGAGCCATCATTCATAAAGGGAAACAATTAATTATTCATTCTTAGTTTCACAATTCCTAGCTTGAATTATTCTCGCACATGTTCAGTACATTTTTCCAACATCACTTTATATTGAGTCAAATTTTCCCTTAAACAAGCAATATAGATCGGATATGAAAAGTTGGAAAACTGGACTTAAATTACAAAATCGCACGGAAAATTCGTCAATTTGTAATAGTTTATAGACGTTGTTTTACAATTCCAATAAAAATCATAATGGCTGAGAAAAATTAGTTAAACTTACTAATTATGTTCAGATGAAAGTTTTTGTAATGCTTTCGATGATTAATAATTTTATATTTTGGATATTGAGAGTTTGAGTGATTTTTTTTTTTTTACTTTAATGAATAAATTTTTGTAATATTTGGAGACAAATCATTATAAATATTATTATTTCCATTAAGAGTTTCTTTTTATGTAAGTTCTTATTTGTTGATATTATCTTTTTTTTTAATTTTCACCGGTACAGCATGGTTTTTTAAATACAATTTTTTACTTCAATTTTAAATTCAAATTCATTCATCTTCTTGTAATTTAATGGATGCGAGTTGAAAATATTAGGAAATCACGTAGCATATCTGAAATATACACACATAAATGAGTAGAAAAACATTGTTGAATGGAATATAATTAAAATGTGCATACCGTTTAGTCCAAAGTCGTGCGATTCGATCATGTTCTTCCCTATTTTGTAAATATTGTGTAGCAATACTACCGACCAACGGATCAGCTGGAAGACAGAACAGACGAAGAAGAAGTAAGCATTAATCGAATATATAAAGGGAATTTATATTATATATTTTAATACCTGGATTACAGTCTGTTAACAAAGAACAAATTGATAAGAGAACCTTTGATATTGTCAGTGCAGGTGACCAATTATCCTTTAGAATATCCAAGCAAATAACGCCTTGACTATTTATATTGCAGTGATAAATCCTAGTTCTAAATAAAACCTATTGACAAAAAAAAACAAACATTTAATTAATACATGAAAAATAAAAAAAATGGTTGGAATCGAGCTATTACCTTTGGAGGCTTGAATGGGTATTCTGGTGGAAAATGTATATCCAAGAAAAATACACCGCCTTCATAAACAGAACCTATGAAAAATCATTGTCAGTTAATAAATATTATTCGTAATAAATCAAATAGATTTAGAGAACTTGCCTGGCGGTCCTAAAATTGTTGAAACCCATTCATACAAGTTGTCACCTTTAGGTCCAGCGGAACAATTTGGTGGAGGATCAAGGGTTATTTCAGCTAGTTCCTTTTGCATGCGCTTAGCAGATGTTCCTAAAGCTTTAGAAATTTTTGGATTCGATTTTGTTTCTTTTGTTTCAGGCTTAGGCTCAGATGAGCTAGATGCACTAGTACCGCTTCCATTTCGTCTATTTCCACTTCCACTTGATCCTGAAGATCCGGCAGATGATGTCGACATTTTGTTTTTCTTTAAACCTTTTCTTCTTTCCCTTGTTTCCTCGAAAATGTTACAGTAATAGTGTATGCAATAATTGGAATTGGATAATAGAGAACAAAATTCTATCTGTGAATGATACAGAGAATATTTTAACATATAAAATATAGCAAAAAACAGATGTAATGATTTTGTGTATGAAAAACACGTAGTAAAAAGGAATAAAAAAGGAAAACTGCAATAAAAATTAATCATCTGCTGATGACAGTGCTTATTCATTCGTTTATTGAACTCGCCGTCGTCTTTTATTTCCATTCCTCTAATTTACTTTCAATAGCCACACAACAGTGTTCACCGTTTTGGGCAGGATCAAAATATTCGACGAAAAACTGCATTGATATGAAATTTTTGACAATTTTAGAGAGAGTATACAAAGAGTATTAAACATTGAAGCTGGAGAGGTTTTTGATTTATAGGTACTTTTTACAACAATGTTAGCATGTCTTTTTAAGCAACAACGAATCAGCCAGAACATATTCGCTTAAAATAATTCGAATCTTAAAAATCGTTTAAAGATATAATTAAGTTTAACCACAAGTTCCATCAGAATATTAAGAAGACCAATACAAAAAAATCTAATTTAACCGAAAACTCCATTTATTTTTTTGTTAAAGAATTTCTTTGGATTATCTTTTCAGCATTTTCAACATGAAGCTGATGATTAAAGTTTAATTATACTACAAAAATTATATTAGAACTGCATTAAAGTGAATGTGTTAAACAATGAGAAACATTGGAAAAATTAATTCTTGAAAGTGACGAATTTTCGGATCGAGCCTTTTCGCCATTTTGAAGACGATTTTTTTTTGTTCTTCACATTACACGTTTAATTCATATAATTTACATATCTAATGCTATTTAATGAAATCAGAATTATGCATACTACATAAATGTTATAATTTCTTTGTGATAAATTGAGATATAGTTAATTTTTCTCATTCGACTAGTCTCGAGAATTTATGGAAAATTTTAAATCACTTTAAAAAAACGTCTAGCATGCATATAGCACAACTCTTTTGATTATTCGCCTAAAGAGCATTTCAATTTATTAAAAAATTACCTTTTTAATTATTAAGTCTCACTAGTATTTCACTAATTTATTTTAATATGTCTAGGACTAAAATTGTAATCGGTATATGAAAGAGATGAACGCAGAGTGAGTGAAAAAGGAAACACTTAAAGCGACGCTTTAAAGCTTAAAATTTTGAATTAAAAGAATTCGTTAATTAAGTATTATGGACATTGTTCCTTAAAAATCAGTCAAAATAAGCTTAAAAACCAATAATATTTTACCATTTTACTACGTTTTTATACAACTAGTTCCTATAAAAAATAGTTCAAGCAAATTTGCGACTTTTCATGCATCAATGTTGTTGTTTTTTTCTTCAAGTCATTAAACAATAACAAAACAGTTTGTTAATATTTCACGGTAACAATTAATTGATAATTTTGAATAGTAAGAGCTTTAATTGACGAAATAAGTTTGTTGATTCCAAAAATGGCTTCTAAGTCGATCAGAAAAGATGAAGAACAGCAGATACAGATTCATTTAATCACAAAACAGGCTCAGTAAGAGATGCTCGATTTTTGTAGGTTATTTTAGTTGATATATACTTTATAATCTTGTTTTATAGATTTGCTGTTCCAAACACACCATATACAATTCCATCTAATGTCACAGTGGTAGAATTAAACAATCTTATAAATACTATCCTTCAAGAGAATCAAAATGAAATGTTTACATCTGAAATTCTGTTTGATTTTCTTGTGAGAGGAGAGTTCCTGAAAACAAGTTTATTGAAGCATTTGAAAGATAATGAAATATCATTTGAAGACGTTATAGATGTAGAGTATGTTGAAAGATTTCCAGCTCCAGAAATTCTTGATTGTTTGTTACATGATGATTGGGTCTCTGCTGTTCAAATGTGTGGCGAATTGATTCTTACAGGAAGCTACGATAATTCAGTAAATGTATGGAACATGAAAGGAGAACATAAGTTAACTCTTAGTGGACATGAAGCTCCCGTAAAAGGCGTTGGCTGGATATCATTGAATGAAGACAACGGAACTGCAGTTTTCGCTAGTGGATCTAAAGATCAGACAGTCATGATTTGGGAATACAATATTAATGCCAATAAAGCAAGCTGTATCTTCACTTGCAAAGGTCATGAGCGAGCTGTGGAGTGTTTATCGATTTCACCAAATAGTAAATTACTAGCGTCAGGTGGATGGGACAATTTCTTGAAAATTTGGTCTACATCTACATTAGAAGATTATCATGGGTCCAGTAAAAAGATGAAAATTGAGGATACAAATGTAAGGACACCACAAACAACATTAGAAGGTCATCGTGAAGCTATTTCCTCAGTTCAATGGATTGATAATTCGACTATTTTAACTTCTTCGTGGGATCATACAATGAAAATTTGGGATTTAGAAATGAAAGCCTTGAAAACCGAAATTCCTGCAAATAAATCAATATTTGAAGCTAGTCATTCGCCTTTAAACGGAATGATCATAGCTGCATCTTCTGATAAGAATCTTCGCCTTTTTGATCCACGTTCAAACCGTAAGCTAATATTAATGCTTCTATCTTTTAATAAACTGATATGTCCAATTCAATTTTTAGATGGAACGATTGTAAAGAGCACTTTTCTTGGTCATAGTCAGTGGGTATCGTCAGTAAAATGGTCAAAAACTGAAGAATTTCTTTTCATTTCTGGATCATATGATAATACTGTAAAACTGTGGGATTATCGAAGTCCTAAAGCACCCCTATTTGACTTGATTGGACACGAGGATAAAGTGATGGTCGTTGATTGGTCGAATCCAAAATATATGGTTTCTGGCGGTTCTGACAATTCTTTGAGAATTTTTAAATCTAAAAAAGTTTTAGAGGAATAAAATATTGGAATTAAGAGAACAAAAATTAATTTTTATTGTCCTCATTTGTATCATTTTCACCATTTGTTTTTACTGTTGGTTCTTTTGTCTGAACAATTACATCTCGGTCTGTTGGTGATATGAATTTAAATAAAACTAGTAGATCCGCTAAATTGGGATTGCCATTTTTCTCAAGCAATCGAATCCACGATAATAGTGAATCTTTTGATGACACACCAGTACAGCATACTGCATAAATAGTTCCATCTTTCTGTTCATGTACCGATCGTAAAATAGCAACTTTATTTTTCTTTTGCTTAACTCTTCCTAAAGAGAATATTGGTACGTCAATGTCACTGACATCATCTACTTCAATATCATCATTATGTTCTATGAAATTTTTTGGAGCTTCACTTCGAAGAATGAAATAACTTATACAACGATACCTTAGCCAGATATTAAAAGGTCCTTCAATAAAAAGACCAATTTTCTTATCATGTTGCTTTAATAAATCCTGTTGAACTATGCTTTGTCCACTTACTATCCAAGTGTCTTCAATTGAGCTTTCTACATCTTTCGTATGGTATACACAAATTTTTGATTGTAAATCAACAGAACACATTCTTTCAATTGCTAACATTCCCAAGTCAAAGGCATCATTTGGTGGTGGATTTGGAACAATCCACGGTGATAGGTTTTTAAATTTAGGCATCCAATACATCATTCGCCAAAACTTTCTCACAGGAAATCCTCTCCGTCCAAAAACATTGATTAGCATGTCTTCCATTTCGTAGTCAGGCATAACACCATTATCCTCCATCTGATCGAGTAAATCTGTGGCAAATAATAAAAAGATATTCTACTTTTTGGACTATTGACTATGTATCATGCATGTATTTTTACCAATTATACACTGCTGCTGTTTGGGATAGTGCTGAAATTCTACTTGAAATAAATTAGTTGGGATGAATTTTCCTTTTGGCATAACTTCAATTAATTTTTTGTACACCACAAGATCTCGCTGAACTCCATATTCCTTCATATTTTTAAGTGCTGCATAGATAAATTCAGTATGATTTCTTCTGTTAACGTCTTTATTTATGAAAATATCTATCATGTCAAGGAACGAATCTTTGTTCTTATGTTCCACACATTCAAATGCTCCTTTAAGGATTAAGCTTCGTTTTGCAAAAAATTCATGTTGTCGTTCTCGTTTTTCCCGATTATTTTCATAATTTTTCTCTTCCTCTGTTTTTTCATTGTTTGAACACAGTCTTTTCGACTGATTATAAGTTTGAAACCTTAACCGGCTATTTACTATTGATATTACACAATTCCTACATCGAATCATCTCCTTTATATATATTAGTTTTTACTTAAAATTCAATTGATTCACTTATTTATACTATTTGTTTATGTTCTGATGAAGTGACGCTTTAAAAGTCAAAGCGACATTGAAGGGATAATGTTGCTCAGTTTTGTTGCTGAATTTTTAAAAAAAAAATAATAAAAAATTATTTAAAAATTAAGAGAATAACATCTTTGCAACAAGAAAATCTTGTTCCATTTAAGTAAATTAACAATAGAAGGTAAATTAGTATAAAGACTTTAAAGTTTAAGTGGAAATTGTGCAATTTTTTTGAAATCGGAATTTTCCTTCAAAATTACAAAAAAAAAAAGAGAAAGAATAAGAAGTGACGAAAAAAGAAGAGACTTAAAAACTAGGAAAAACTACGAAAAAGAGCAATTATAAACATATATTGTCGATACAATTAATGTTCTTACGAGTGTTTTGGAGTGTAAATTGAAATTGACTATTGTATTGTATAACAAACATGATTAATTAAACGATTTCAACTAGTGTCGCAAAAAAAGATTTCGTCTTGAATTTTCCATTTTCCTTTGTTCCGTGAAAAGAAGAAAAACAAAAGAAAACATAATTAAATGCTATATTACATTATTGCTTATGCTTCAACACATTTGTAATTACTTTAAATCGCTATTTACTGTTTAACTTTATGAAAAATTCTAACCTAGAAATATAAATAAAATATATATACAGTAGATTTTTGTGTTATATCCTTAAAAATCTGTTATCCAAGCAAAAATATTGCATATCATTGACATTGTTTTGAAAGATTCTTCATCAAAATCATTTTCATGCTTTAATGTCATTTCGTAAGTCATAGTTCCTACTAAACTGTTCCGTAATTTTAATATTAATTAAGAATCTTTAGTCACACCAGAAAATATTAATTGGATCTTGTTCACTTCTTAGTGCTGTAACGTGGAACAAAAAATGAATTCAGTCAAATCATCAATTGCCGAGAATGGAAGCTTGTCAAATGATCGTGTTATTATATTGGATGCTGGAGCACAGTATGGAAAAGTAAGTATCTCTTAATGAACCTAAATTTGCAGCAATCGACTAACAGTTCAACAATTCATTAGGTCATTGATAGAAAAGTTCGAGAATTGTCAATTGAGTCTGAAATTTTACCGCTCTCAACAACGGCTCAATATATAAAGGAGCAAGGGTTTAAAGCTATTATTATTTCCGGTGGACCTTCATCTGTTTATGATGTCAATGCTCCAAAATATGATCCCGATATTTTCAAATTAGGATTACCAATTTTAGGTATACGAAATAAGTTTATGAATTGAAGGAATTTTGACAATAATTTGTGTTATGATTTAATAGGAATTTGTTATGGTCTTCAAATAATCAATAAAGAATTCGGAGGCACTGTGCGCAAGAAGGAGATTCGAGAAGATGGACAGATGCTTGTGAAAGTTGATACTGAATGTCCTCTTTTTAGGTAAATATAACACAAGAAAAAATAATCAATTAAGGAGGAAAAAGAAGGGAAATGTCATAAAGCTAAGACAACTTTACTCGATACACTCCTCCAATATTAAAAATTTGCTGTAACGAACATCTTTCTCATCTTTACAAGACTCAATGATGGAAAGCTACATGTTTCAGTACATTTGCATTTTGCTTAATGTTTTTTTTTATTTCACAACAATTCTTGTCTTCTTTTAGTGGTCTTCAAAGCTCACAAACTGTGCTTCTAACTCACGGAGATTCAATTGAAAACGTTTGTGATAAATTCAAAGTTTGTGCGACCAGCTCGTCTAACATCATTGCTGGTATTTACAACGAACAAGCAAGAATTTATGGTGTTCAATTTCATCCAGAAGTTGATTTAACTTTAGAAGGAAAGAAAATGCTTAACAAATTTCTTCTTGACGTGGCAAGACTTAATCCAAGCTATACAATCAATTGCCGAAAAGAAGAATGTATTCGTTATATACGCGAAAAAGTTGGCAATAATAAAGTTCTGGTAAGATTTATGACAACTTTGTGTTCAAAAAGATAGATTCTCTATTTTCTAACATTATTTCAGCTTTTATGCAGTGGCGGAGTTGATTCGACTGTTTGTGCAGCTTTAGTGAGGGTTGCTTTGCAACCCAGTCAAATTTTAGCCGTTCATATTGATAATGGTAGCATCAAAACTCATTTCATCTTAATTGCTTTATTCATTAATTCATTTATTTTTTTTCCTCTTTAATTAAAACAATGAAATGAAAACAAAGGTTTTATGCGTAAGAATGAGTCAGATATTGTGGAGTCGTCACTGAAAGGCATCGGAGTGAATTTGATAGTTAAAAGAGCATTTCATCAGTTTATAAAAGGCACTACGACAGTAAAATTGCCCGGATCTCTTTATACAACCGAGACACCACTTTTGAGTATGACTTTAAATCCCGAAGATAAAAGAAAGATCATTGGCGATGTATTTATTAAAGTCTCGAACGAAGTTTTACGAGAATTAAAGATGAAACCCGAAGATGTTTTCCTTGCACAAGGGACTTTACGGCCAGATTTAATTGAGTCTGCTTCATCTTTAGTAAGTACGAAAGCTGATACAATCAAGACCCATCATAATGATACAGAGTTAGTAAGAAAGTTGCGTGACGAAGGACGAGTTGTTGAACCTCTAAAAGACTTTCACAAAGATGAAGTTAGAAAATTGGGATATGATCTTCAATTGCCTCAGACGTTAGTTGAGCGACATCCTTTTCCTGGTCCAGGATTAGCTATTAGAATATTGTGTGCAGATGACGCATATATTGAAAAAGATTTCAGCGAGACACAAGTTGTGGTTAAAGTTATTGTTGACTATCAAAACAAGCTCAATAAGAATCATGCATTATTGAATCGCGTGTCAGGCGTGACTACAAAGGAAGAACAAGACGAATTGTGTAGAATTTCCAGCAGCATTGAATTATCTGCAACTGTTTTGCCAATTAGAAGCGTGGGAGTCCAAGGTTAATTCAAAGAGATTTCTTTCATTACTTCATAATCATGGCTAATGGCTATATCTTTAAATTTTGTAGGTGATAAAAGAACCTACAGTTATGTTGTGGGATTATCAAGTGATACGCAACCAAATTGGCAGGATATGATATTTTTAGCAAAATTAATTCCAAGAATTTTACACAACATTAATAGAGTATGCTTCATTTTTGGTTCACCTGTTACGAACCAAATTACAGATGTAACTCATACATTCTTAAGCAAATACACTATTGGCCAAGTACGGCAAGCAGATCATATTGTCAATACTGTAAGTATCTTGTAAGTTTTTACACATATAAAATAAGTGAAATAAATTAATTCCGTCCAACAGATTCTCAGCGAATTCAATTTGATGAACGGAATATCACAAATGCCTGTTATTTTAGTTCCTTTACATTTCGATCGAGATCCAGTTGATCGTAAGCCTTCAGCACAGAGATCAATTGTACTAAGACCATTCATAACAAACGATTTTATGACTGGCGTTCCTGTCGTTCCTGGAAGCGAGCAAATGCCAATTCACGTTAGTAATAATTTAATTAGGAATGTAAAATTAATAATTTATAAACCATAATGTTCTGATTTCAGGCTATCGAAAAAATTGTAATTGAAATTCTAGCAAAAGTGCAAGGTATTTCACGAATCATGTATGACTTGACAAGCAAGCCTCCTGGAACAACCGAGTGGGAGTGAATTGAAACATAGTTTAAGATATAAAAAAAAAAAACATGAACGAGAGGATGAAACAATTAAATAATCGTTGCATAATAATTAAACAAAAATTTATATTTTTAATTGTTGAATGTGCTCGGAGATTTTTAGAAGTACAGCAAAAAGACGACAAAACAAAAGAAAAAGAAGAAGAAAAAAAATTAAATCACAGAATAGCCTCTAACATTATTGAAAGCCATTTAATAATATTGAGATATAGATTTTTGATAGGAAATGAAAAACAAGCAACAAATTTTATAAACATTTTTGTCGAATTTTTCCGCAACACGTTTTAGTTATTTTTCTTTTTTATCGTCTCTTTTTTTTGAAAAAAAGAACTAGTATAAACGTGATCATTCATGATCGACAAAAGCGCATTTTCCTGCACACAATCAATAAATGATTAGTGACTTCGTACTAGTTCAACCTCTTAAAAAAAACAACTTTAGGCATAACAAGCCTGCTTATCCAGTTTCAGGGAAATGCGCTGAATTTGTAATTTATTGTAACGAAAATCGCGCTTTTAAGAAGGAGAACAAAGTGTATAAAACAGTATAAAGGAAAAAAAAAATCTTTAAGCATCTCTAGCATTAAATTTATTAAAGAAACTACTATTAATGTGAACAGAAATCTATGAATGAATTGAGAAACAAAATAATAGTAAAAAAATGAAATTTTAGACAGTTTTGATTTTCAAATACAGTTTGAAGCAGCACCTCTGATATAAAAAATATTACCTGGAAAATTAAACAATATATGCATAACAATTGAATAATATCCTTGATCCTTACATAAAATAAATATTTATTTCCTTTGTGTTTTATTATTACTACATTATTTTTACCATCAAACTTTAAAACAACTAAAAAAGTTCACGCAGATACACACTTATATACAAAACGGAATGATCGAGGAATTTTCGTTTTATTTTTTAATACTATTAAAAAAACAAAAAAATAAATAATAAAGGAAATGAGACAGTGAAAATTTTTAATATTAATTCTTTTTTTGTTTTAAAATTCTTTGTCCTTAATGTAGTTCTTTCGTCGAGTGATTATCAAACGGTTCTCAAATAAATAATTTAAGATGTAATTCTCAATTGCTATAGTTATGATGAAAAGTGACAGAAACTGCATCCAAAAACTCATAAACTTTTGCCAAAAAGATTTCTGATAACGTATAGCTAGCTCAGGAATTTTAACACCAACTTTAATTGTGGTTTTTTCATCGCTAAATTGCTCGTAGTCCGTTGCTGTTTCCTTAAAATTAAAATGCATTGGATTATGCTGGAGTTGTTCACGGATTGAAGACAATCGATACTTTTCTAAGTTTGTTTGATTTTCATTTAGAGTTTCATAATAAAAATGAGATTTAACATTTCTGAGGAAAAATGGACACACTAATGCTATATTCTGAGAAACTTCAAGATTTCCAAATATTAAAATTTTCCGATTGTAGAAATTTTCACTCAACTTTTTCTTCACGATGACTGCGGCAGGAATCCGAAATTCACATTGACTTTCAATTCTTGCATCGAGGAACAACATAATTTTAACCGACTTGATTCCGTAATTATTAATTGTATTGAATTCAAATGAGAACATCAGTTCATCTATAGTTCCGTCGTAATTTATGTCCTTTTCACTTATTTGAATTTTTGAACATTTTTTCGTTTCATTGAATTGATTTAAGGCATCAAATGAGCTACATAATATACCCTTTCCAGTATCATTGTCGACTGAATTTTCAGCTACAAGGATGTATTTATATTGAAACTTTACAATTGGTTGTTCGAATGACAAAAATTGACTTTCAGTAATGTTTAATTTCAAAATTAATACTATTGGAATTAGGAATGCACCAATTATAGCTATCAATTTTATCAAGCTTGCAAACGAGCACAGATGATGCTGATAGTCAATAAATGAATATTTTCGATGCAAACTAATTAAACCCATTTTATCAATTTTTCAAAATTTTAAGTTTAAGTCTGTTTATACAAACCAATGTGTTACCCGGCAACAATGTCATGTGTCCAATAAACGAATGGAAAAATAGGGCTAGCGTTCATGTTTTGCTATGTTTTGTATTCAATGATAACAACATTTTCAACATCGCTAATTTTTATTTTTAAGGAACTTAATCCAAAAAAAAAACAATTCTTTAATTTAATTCTTAATGACGAATCTTTAATCTTAAGGGCGCATAGTATGAAAAAAAATTTGAATGTTTTGGTCATGAGTTTTAATGGTTATTCTCGATATTTAACTGTGTAGCAATTAATTTTAGGATGAACGTGGGGTGAATTTTAGTTCAAGCTTTTTTTTACCACCTTGAGATTTGAAGATACTTATTTGATCGTAATTAACGCAAAACTGCAAATAAAAAATAACCCCTCGCCTTTTTATTGTTATGTTTGATTGTGACGGTTTTAAAAAATCCAAATATAGCCATTATTTTGATTCTTAAGAAATTTTGTGACTATCAAGAGACACATTATCGGAATTAATTACCATTCTTTTAAATTTCATTTATTTTAATTATATTTTAATTTCTGTTCCAATGTTCAGAATAAATTCTTATAGAGTTCCACACTCACTTCTATGTTTTATTTTTTATTGTATTTTTAGGGGCAGATGAAAATACGATTTTTTGTTGCGCTCGTGTGATTTTTCAAAGAGCCGCTCGTCTATTAGAGAGCTTCTTGCTTAAGTTTTTGCTGTCCTATTTTTATTTATTTTTGTTAAATATTCAATCTATACCCTACATACTAGTCTGTATGTGCATACCTGTTGTGAAATATTAGGAAGGAATTAAGTTAATTTTTTAGTTCTTTTCATTTTTAATCAACTTTGGTCTTTTTTGAGCCAAAAGCTAAAATTAAAACGCAATCCAATTAAGCATGAAATTATTAAATCAAAAAAAAAAATTGGTAAAAACCAACAGAATATTATTTTAATTTAATAACTTTAACAAGCGTTAAATCTGTTATACTGTCATATTGTCATTGATGACGATATGTTTTCTTTTTACTTCATATTTAAAGATATAAATATATAATAAAAACGAGCACAAGAAATCTTGTGAATGGATATTTGTGTGTGAAGGTGTTATTGTGTGTCGTTTATCAGCTGGATTCCAATTATTTATTGGAATGGCATTTTTTTGTTGTAAATTAAATCAGGCGAGAAGATAAATTAATCAAATTGTAAAGTCACGATTGCTTCACACTTTTTCATTTCTTTCCTTTATTTTTCATTTCTGAATTCCATTCAATAAATAATAACATTTTATTGCTCAATTATTTTTCATTTTTATATCCAGAATTTCTGAGGTGGTCTCTCGCGCTCTCTACATGATTATTTGTCATAACTATAAAGAAAAGAATGAGTATAAAATCCTTTCACGAAATTCTTTTGAAATTCTTGTTTTTTTATTTTTTATCGAAAGTTTTTATTTGTAAATTACTAAGGGATTTCTGGTTTAGATTATAAAAGCATCACCTACGCAAGGCCTATCCTTCCCATTGTAATTTTCAATGATACTTAATTTAATCAATTTTATTGGATATTGATGATCTCATCTATTGCTACGTCGCTTACGATGACAAATATTTATTAAACGAGACAACTCTCAGTTTCATCTTAAAAAAATGAAATTGTCTGAAATTTTATACAACCTTTTGTGGCTCTCTTTACGACTTTGCGTAGCTTTTGAAATAAAGTTTTTAAAAATCAATTCGAATGACTCGAAAAAGGATAAGTTCAAATCTCAAAGGCATTATAATTGTTTCGTGTCTATAAGATTTAAGTAACCACCAATTAACTTCAACAGCTTAAATCAAAAATATAAGTTCCTCGACAAAAACACGCTCTGAAAAGTCGTGATTGAAATTAAAACATAATTTTTTAATTAATTACATAAACTCCCACCAGAACAATATTAAAAAGGATAATAAATTAAAAAAATATCCCCTACACAAATAGTAAATTTAAAAATCCTTTAGCAAGCAAATTTTCAAACCAACAAATTTTTTATTGATGTCCTGAACCCTCACGAAATTGAAATTATGTAGTAGAAAAAAATGTTATATTTTGACACCATATTGTAATTATTGCTGCAAAATTTACATAATCTACTTATGGTCTATTCATGCTTTTTAAGATTTTACAGACACATACCATACACACAAATAGATAGAGATAGATAAAGAGAAGAAGGAGTAGATTGATATGATATTTGTTTGTTTGTGCTTATAAATTGTTTGTTATTTTTCTCCCCTCAATTTCAACAAACAGATATTTACATTCTGTTGTTGTTGCTGCTTGGATGGAAAGATGAAAAATAAATAAACATTTAGTATACACATTTGACACTGATTTTGGCTAAATAGATCATCATATTAAAAAATAGAGGGTTGGTGCATGTAAAGTAGTCAAGTTATATCTCAATATTCTTGCAAAAAGTAAATAGAATGGGATGGAAACATGAATGGGAAATGTGTAAAAACAATTTATTTTTCCAAATGATACGACACATGTAGTAAGTAAGCATGAAAAATCTGTTTTGTCTTTCCTTTTTCTTTCTTTTTTTTTGTTCATCCTAGAAAATGGCAAATTGACTTTTCCTCGAATGTGATATTCACTCAGCTCTTCTTTCATGATAAAGTTTGTGACATGTGAAGCATTGAAAGGCACTGTAGGATTGTGAAATTGGAATTTTATTCAATTGTTTTTTCTGTTTTTCTCATTTTGGAAAAGTTTTATTAACATTCAACTAGAGAAATTGGAGTCAATAAAGAATGATGAGATTGTTGAATTATGTTATTTTTGTGTAATATCTTTGACATGGCTACATTTATTAATGATTCTATGTGTGTAACATTGCCAAAATGGAATGTTGTTCAACATGATGATATTGAATTTAAAAACTAGTAATGAAGCCGATCACGCTTCATGGGAATATTCACACAATCCTATAGAACTCTCTATGTATTGTTCAGAAAATCTTGAAAAATCTTCTCTCAATAAAATGTAAGACTTAATATCAACATTTTGTTGTATTATCAACAAAGTATACCACGCATTAAAAACACGTTTTACAACGAAAATCATGATTCTTGTGTCGCAAAAAAATAACAATTTTTAAAATTATAAATATGAAAAATACGACTTATGTAGAAAGCCATTAACTTTCACACTTAGTAAACGATAGATTATGAAATTGAAAAATCACTCAAATTAGTGCTCTCAGATAGTTTTTTATGTAGATCCGATTTCAATATACCTTACAGTCTTGGATAGTTTTGCAACTTCCGCTTCGCTCCAGTTGCTGCTCCGCAGTCAGTCTCTTATGTAGATCAGAATTCAACATAGGTTACAGCCCAAGTAACCAAAAGGTAGGTCAATGTGTTCCATGAGAATCTTCCATGGATGATACATATGCATATCGGAAAATGATGTCCTATGAAATTGGAAGATAAATGGACAATGCAATAATACATCAAAGGAAAACAAATGGATTACTTTTTTTGAATAAAACACGTGCTAAATTCCACGTGTTCTTTTGTATTTTTCTTTTATTTGTGTAAATTATTGTAAAAGTGTTAGTGTGTACTTAATTAAAGTACACCAACACTACAAAAAATAACGGTCTTAATTTACACAAACCTGAGGAAGATAAATAATTGATTGAAAGCCCCATACAAATTTAGAGAGAACTTATAATAGTGATTACTGCGAGCTCTTGTGAATCAAAAAAATATTTTTTGATGATTTTTCATAGGATGTGAACCTAAGCGGGCTCGGGTAATACTTCGATGGAACACTTTTGTTACATGTTTGTAAAACAAATATTTTACATATGGGCTCGTTCACTTATTACGTAACGCAAAAAACGAGTTTTTAGACCCCCCCTCCCCCCCTGTAACAAAGCGTAACAAAATCTTAGACCCCCCCCCTCCCCCCCATAACGTAACAATAATTTTTTTCATTTAAATTGTTTATCAAATGTTTATTATACTTCCTTTAAAATTTAAAATGAATATAGAAATATATTCACAAAAATTGAAAATTTTGTGTGAATATGAAAATTATAAAAAAATATATTTTTTGAAAAGTTACGTAACAAAATTTAGACCCCCCCCCCCCCCTCCCCCTGTAACAAACCGTAACAAAATCTTAGACCCCCCCTCCCCCCCTAGTGCGTTACGTAATAAGTGAACGAACCCTATAATAAAGTCGAAGGAAGATTATATGGAACATTTTTGTTATTTGGAAGACTGGATAGTTTTGCAACTTGTGTGCTATTGAAATCTGAGATTTTTTTACTCATAAGTATTATAAGGATTTTTAAAACGGGTAAAATTTTCACGCCCTTCGTGCATTTCGTTACGTTTAACTGTTTATAGATTACATTCGGTTTATAGGTTACAGATCGTACTGGATTTTTAAATGTATCGACCAAGAATCCAAAATTAACCATGTCTAGAACTCAAAACCAAGAGTCTGTAAAATTTTAATTTTGTCTGAAACTTGGAACCGAGATCTTATAAAATTTTAATTATTTTTGAAACTTAAAGCCAAGATCCAGTAAAGTTTTATTCATGGCTGAAACTTAAAAACAAGATTCAGTAAAGTTTAAATCATGTCTGCAACAAATTACAATGATCCAGTAAAGTTTTAAGCATATCTGAAACTTGGAACCAAGATCCAGTAAAGTTTTAAGAATGTCTGAAACTGAAAACCGAGATCAAGTAAAGTTTTAATCATGTCTGCAACAAATTACAAAGATCCAGTAAAGTTTTTATCATGTCTGAAATTTTAAATCAAGATCCAGTAAAGTTTCAATCATGTCTGAAACTTAAAACCAAGATCCAGTAAAGTTTTAAGCATGTCTGAAACAATAAACCAAGATCCAGTTAAGTTTTAATCATGTCTGAGGTTTAAAAACAAGATCC